AACAGCAGTCTTCAAAGGCAAAGTTAGAATAAGCGACTGGCCATCATTAACAAGACCCGAGTTGGCTGCAATTTTGTGTGCTCTATTAACAGTAACAGGAAATGCTTGTGTACAGGTTAAGACAGATAGCTCAGCAGCAATCTTAGCCATAAGACGGGCATTAAAAGAAAAAGATTTTAGCAAGGGGCTGAAAGTGAAAAATAGAACAATACTTGACAAAATAGTAGAAACCATCCAGTTTAAAGAACTTGAGCTTGATTTAATAAAGGTCAAAGCACATAGTGGAGTAAAGTGGAATGAAGAAGCAGATATTATTGCAAAAGAAGGTGCTTATTTGGATGAAACATGGAAGTGGCCAAACAACCTGCAATCATGCTGGAGTTTCGATATAAAGTGACAAGAAAGAAGTATTGAATATTCGCTTCGAAAGTTCATTTTGAGATTAAAAAGAAGGCTTATAGAAAGTGAATGGTATCTATCCAAAAGGTGTGATTCACTATGACAATTAGACCGGAAAAATAACACCATATAGTCACGTTGCTGGGAAAAATTAAAAGAGCTAAGAGGCCAAATATATAGATTGCTCCAAGATAGTAATAAGCTCGTAAGCCGATTAAAGAGATTATTTGATATGCTTCCAACACTAGATAAACTTCACCAATGCAATTCAGATTTATATACTTCACCAATATGTATAATGTGTAAGAAAGAGAAAATAGAAAATATAGATCATCTTTTTAGCTGTAAATCTTATCAAGAGGTCTGGAAGCAGGTTGAAAACCAAGCTCTTGCGACAGTATGGGCCATGCTTGAAGAAGAAACTAGATTTGTGTATTCTATAGAAGAAATCAGAAAGGTGGTTTTCAGAAGTACACAAGAAGAAAGATTAGAAAAAAGAAAAGCTCTTACTTTCGGTCTAGCTTGCCAAGCTGATTTTTCAAGTCTGCAAGTAATAAATAAAAACCACAAGTCAAGTAGACAATGCTTCGACATGCTAGTTTATGTGAGAAATTTGCAGTATGGAAAGAAAGTATAGGTATAAACAGAGCTATCAAAAGAGGAAAAAGGCCCAGAGTCAACAGTACTGCCCAAGTAGAAGCTAACTCCATAGTAGAAGATAAAGGACTAACAAGAAATTCTGATGCAGTGGAAAGCCATTTAAAAAAGCAACAAAAAAGGCGAATGAAAGTGTCAAAAGAAGAAGTTGTAACGTTAAATGGAGTGAAAAGACATAGAAGCTCAAAAGACTCTTTAGTAGATAATGAAGTTGCATCATCAAGTCATCCGAGCAAGAGACGAAAAGAGAATGAAGAAGGAGCCGAATTATTGAAAGTTGGAAAAACGAAGAATACTTTGGTTAGGTTTGGTGAAAAAGTAGGTGAAGTTTATAAGTTGGCAATGAAAACAATAAGGTTACAAATCTCGAGTTTTTTTATAGCAAGATAGTGGTTAAAATAAAGTTGGAAATAATCTAAAAAAATAAGGTAGCTAAGTACCATGCTATAGCAGGTTTCGAAATGCAGGTATTACTGCATATGGGATCTGTTGGCAAATATCAGTGCGATAACCATTCTTGGGCACTTTTATAGCAGCCGGGTTTTGCCTAATATGTATTTAGATAGATTAATTTTTTTGTTAAAAAATTATAATATTCTAATATATTAGTGTAAGGTTATCAAAGAAAAAAAATAAAAAATAAAAAAAAATAAGATCAGCACAATTTCTATATTAGAATTTGGAGCAAAGTTCTTATAATACTAACTATAAGCTGAAATCTGAGTAAAGTCAAATGAAAAGTATTTTTTTTATTAAGTTAACAACCAAAGCAAATTAATTAAAAGTTGTAGAGCTCACTAAGACGCATCTATTGGTAGTTAGATTGTCCAAATTAACTTAATAGATATCAAAATATTACTAAAAATCAATTGGCCGACTATATAAAATTTCTATATAAACAATACTTGTTTATATGAAATTTTATATAGTCAGTTAATTGTTTTTTAGTAATATTTTGATATCTATTAAGTTAATTTGGACAATCTAACTACCAATAGATGCGTCTTAGTGAGCTCTACAACTTTTAATTAATTTGCTTTGGTTGTTAACTTAATAAAAAAAATACTTTTCATTCAACTCTGTTCGGATTTTAGCATATAATAAAAAGTTATTCCCAAAATTTACTATTGTCCCAATATAGTAATTATGCTGATCTTATCCGGATTTTCAATTAAAGTACTTTTCAAAAAAAAGAAAACTATGAAAAATAAACAAAAAAGAAGTATATGAAAAGTTTTATTAATATTGTAGAACTCTATTATTAAAAATAATCAAAATTCTTTTTTGTTTTAGAGAAGTTAGCATAATAGCAACTTCATAAAATTAGATTATCACCATGCTAACTTCTCTAAAACAAAAAAGAATTTTAATTATTTTTAATAGTGGAGTCCTACAATACTAATAAAACTTTCTATATACTTTTTTGTTTATTCTTTATAGTTTTTTTTTTTTTTAAAAGTACTTTAAACTGTATAAATAATATAAAATTAAATTAATTTAAATAGCCAATCATACAAAAGTCTGCCCATGATATTGTTACAAGTGGGGTAGCCTTCTTAATTTACTACCTGCAATATAGCATATAGCGACAGGGATCTCTAAAATAACAGGGTGAGATATGAAGCGGTGTGGAAGTAGAATGTTTCCTCACTAGGACAGTTCGATATATTTATTAGAAACATAGAGACATGGTTTACTTTAGGGCAAAGATATATTTATTTATTTATAATACAATGTCTAGATACAAAGCTATCTATAGGTATTTATTTCTATAGAATCCTAATATTTAGAACATTGCAAGGAATGAATCCTTCTGTACAAGAAAAGTAAAAACTAGAGTTTATATAGCTTTTACAACATATATAAAAGGTATAAAAAGTACTAAATGTATAAAAAGTATAAAAGGTATAAAAGGTACAAAAGGTACAAAAGGTATAAAAAGTATAAAAAGTATAAAAGGTATAAAAGGTACAAAAGGTATGAAAGGTGCAAAAGGTATGAAAAGTACAAAAGGTATTGTTACAATCTTCTGGATCTAATAAAGATAAAATATAAATCTCATTCTATAACATTTCTATCGCCTTTAAAAATGAACTCTGTAAGTTAATAGTTCATTTTAATTGTCCAATAGAATTGTCAAGTTTTTGCATATTGTGTCGATCATAATTAATTTAGAATAAGGCATATTCTAGATAGCGTAGTTTCTGGTTCTAAAAACTTTTCTTTTTCTCTTTTTGTTAATATTAATAATATTAACTATATCAACTACAATAACATCAACAACAACAATAATAATAACAACAATAATAATAAGCATTAAAAATGCCTTGCACTTATATTTCATGTTCTGTCCGATGTTTACGACGTAATAGTAATGAGTCTCTTTATGAGGCTCTTATCGGAGTCCAGGATCAAAACAGAAGGTAAATATTTACTGATTCTTATAATAGTTTTCAGTAAAATATTAACCTTGTAATTTATATTAGATTGTGGCATGAAGTAAGATTCTTAAGGAAAAGAATCATGGTGTTAGAAGCAGAGTTGGAAGAGATTCGTTTTTGAAATGTGGAGTTGGTAAAAGAGAATTGGAGGAGGGACGAAGAGCATTGGAGGGTTGTTCAAGAAAGAAATCAGTTGCAGGTTCAGGTTGCTGAGTTGGAGAGTTGTATAGATAAAGTTGTAGTAGATTTAGATGTAGAATTTGATTTGTAAATTTCTTTTTTTTTGTATATATAGTGCCCTAGCATATTATTGTAGACACTTTTTAAAAATTTATAACAAGCTAAATAAACATAGTATTAATTTAAAATTTATAAAATAAACTTGTTAAATCTAAAGCTTTTAAATAAAAAAAAGATTACAAAATTCCATGCAGTACTTTTTGAGATAATTAAGGTTACAAAAAATTGTGTAATATTGTACAAAACTGAAATTAGTAATTTTATAATTAAAAAAAAACTTAAATTTAAATTTTTAAATATCTAATAGTTATATGCAAATAATTTTTATATTATTAAATCTTTATAATAATACAATTCTAATGATACTAAAATTGTTAAATTCTAATTACTAGATCTTGAAATATTCAGTAAAACTTTATATAATATAAATTTATAGCTATTTACAATTTATTATATATAAAATATAATTTTTTTATTAAGTAATATAATTTTTTTTTAAATAAAGTTATTTGGTATAAAAAATTATATATAATTTAAAAATTTTAAATTTTTTTAAAAAATATTTATTAAATTACTATATATAGTAATAAAATTACTATTTTTAGTAATTTATTAATTAAATTTAGCATTTTAATTATTTTATTTTATACTATTTAATGCCATATAATTTTTAAAAAAAAATTATAAAAATTTAATACAATATATAATCTTTAATATTAATAATTTTATTTTAATAAAAAATTAGTTTTTAATATATAATAATTATACTAACAAAATTGTAAAAAT